ATCATTACACTCCCTTTAACGCACCCAGGGTAAAAGTTCTTGAGGAAGCTCTAAATACTGAACTTCTTACAATTCGAAAAAAGTATTCTCGAAAAGTCGCTGATGGAAGGAAAAGCTATCAGTTTAATCTAAACCGAGGACATACTATAGAGGAATGTGATGCATTAAAAGATGAGATAGAAAGGCTCATCCGAGGAGGGCATCTGCAGAGATTTGTAGAAGGAAGAACCCGAACAAAAAGTTCTACCAAAAAAAAGTCTCAGCACAGAGAAACCGAATGGTCATATCAAAGGGCCAAACGAAGACACAGGCGAAGTCATAGCCGCAGTCAAAGCCCTTACCGCTCAGTTTGGGGCCGTATCGACTAAAAGATATGATAAAAATTCCTTCCTAACATGTGGAGTGCGACAAATTTCAAAATTTACTTGAACATTACAATCATGCTTATTTTAATTTCTTAAGGCATAGACTTTTGTTGGAATAAAAGTTTATGACACTACTATCACGTTTTATCTCATGCATATGACTGTTCGGCCTTACATGTATTCGGCCATTCGGCCTCCCAAGTGTTTAGCAATTCGGGCTTACAAGGCAAAAGACAAGATCAGGCACACATCTCATTTGGTCAATCCGGAGTTAACCGTTCGTACCATTCATAAAACCAGGGAACATTCCAAACCGAACTCCTACGATCAAAACCGAACGGCAAAGACAACCCCCCATGGACTATAAATCAAAGACAGTCCCCCATGGACTATAAATCAAAGACAGTCCCCCATGGACTATAAACCGAGCGATGAAGACAGTCCCCCAATGAACGCTCACTCACACGCATTCACAAGTACACGGCCATTTGGCCTCACAGATAAACAAAATGGTATCAAAGTCGCTAGTCAATGTGGGAAAAAGTTCTAAAAAGAACTCTCATCATAAGCCGATCGGCCTAGTAAAAAGTTCAACAGGTAACTCGTAAAGTCCACCACTCAGTCAAAGCCGAGCAACGACTCAAATTATAATCAGAACAACCTCCCCAATAGAACGAGGATGACCTTCCCCAAGCACATATAAGTCCTATACTTAACCTTGGCTAAAGCAAAACGGTTAACTCGGACTTGGGGAACATTATGTATAGTACTATATCAAGGACGAACGGTTAGTTTCTAAGACCGGTCGGTCTTTCTACTGTAGTAGCACTCATCGACAACAATGCTCGTCAACCAGAACAAACCGGGACATTTTAGAGGGAACCGAGGCATAAAGTCCTGCGAAAATAAAAAATAAAAAAAATAAAAAATCTACTACTTCGATTAACTTTGAACCAGGGCAAAATCCTACCCTTTTATGTCTCGGTTCAGAACCGATACCTTTTGCCTCGCCTGCATATGCCTTGGTTCAGGAACCGCTGCCTATTGACGAAAATAATAGTCGTTGTTTCCCCTGACTGCACTAGTAGCACCATTTGATCTAGCTTGCAAAAAGACAAAAGCACCTTTTGATTTTCTAGTAGTTTTTGGTTTTTGTCATCTATTCTAGAGCCTTTCTTTAAGTAAATCCTTTTGCTGTGCTAACCTTTCTTTCTTACCATTTAATTAGTTGATTGTCTTCTAGACAATCATGGTTTTGTCAAAGTAAATCTCCTTTTGAAGAGCCTTTGTTCATTTTAGACCTTTTCTTACTTTTTCCTTGGACTCCTTTTGGATTTAGTGGTGTTAACTTGTGGTGTAGGTTGGATGGTTAAAAAATGTGAGGATCATTGGGAGGACAACCCAAAACAATGAGGAACATACAAAGGTGAAGGAGGCCTTGAAGGGAAGCTTGAAGTCTTGGTCTAAAACACAAGACAAGAGAGTATACACTTGATGAGAGAGATTTATGTGTATTTTCTTTAAGTTGTAAAATTGTAGTTGCTTTCCTTTGGACTTGTATTTTTGACTTGTTAAAGGTTTGCCCTAACAAGAACATTGGACATTTATTATTTAAGGAAAATTTGTAATTGGTGGGTAAGAGGGAACCAAAGTTCCTTCTAATTTATCATTAGGCCGCATAGTGTAGATTTATTGCATTAATTAATTATGGTAATTTAGTGTGTGTCTACTTTAATTTCAATATTTGTTCCTTTTGAGAAGTTTGGTGTAAGAGTACCTAAGATAAACTTTGGCTAGGAAATGCTTTGTTATTAAGAAATCCTTTGTCATTCACCTTCCTTTCTTAGAAGTGAACTAGGGCATTTTTTACTTCCTTAAGTCTCCAAGGGAACTTCTCTTGAAATTCTAAGTAATTTGTTTGTTGCATTGCATATTTTTGAAAACTTTGAGAATGTCTAAGACCGCATCCTTTGAAATTGGTAGTGACTCTAGTGAAGAGGTCAAGCCTACTTTGAAAAACTTGGCCAAAGAACTAAAATCACTAAAAATTTAGCAAAAGCAAGAAGTTATTTTGAAAGAAAAAGAAAAGATGGAAAGAGAAGAATATTTCGCTAAATTGGATCAGAAACTTAGAATTCTCAATGAAAAACAAGAGAAAACCTAAGTGTAGGAGTCGGAGTAGGAGTCATATAAGAAGGAGTTCTAGAACTCTAACTCAACCCACACACTATGAGGTAGATAGTTGGCTTTCCATCAATACTATGAACCTCCCTCACTTATAATTCAAAGAGAGCACACTAGTGTAGATAAGCCTTTAGCCGTGTGTTATTTTGGGCTTTTAACGTCAGATCCCGATCCGACGTCTTTATGTGTGACGTTAATGGGACATCGGACTCTATAGGTCAGACGTCGGATTATATAGGTCAGACGTCTATATAGACGTCAGACTTTATAGGTCAGACGTCTAAAACGTTGCCGTATTTGATTGGATCTTTCTCCGCTTGAGGCCTCTCGAGTTGCTCCTGGCTCATGGTGATTCAAGTTTACAACTGTATATTTTAGTTGAAGAGAATGGATTGTATTTTTTTTTTGTATTGGATGGTTTTAAAAATGTAGTGGAGGGAATTGGAGGAGTGCAAAACGCAAGAAATCGCCGCCCAAGAACGCTGCCCAAAGACAAGAGCAAAATTGCACAAAAACTCAACGAAAACGCATTTTAATCGGTTCAAATGAAAAATAATTCATCAAAGAGTAATGTAATCGAAGTAAAATTAATTTTAAGCGGTGCAAAAGTGGGAAAACGAACTTGAAAAATGTAGCCCGTGGAGAGAAAACGCGAGGAAGATGATGAACAATGAGTGCGCGTAACTGCTGTCTCGCGTTCGCAGTGTTTTAATGCAGACATTTAGAAGTCGGTTCCTCCTTTAACAAACGCTATAGATGTCGGTGCCCCCCACAACAGACGTCTAAATGGCTTTAGAAGTCGGAGTGGCGGGATGAGACGTCTAAAAGGAGTCAAAAAGTGACTTTTTATATTTCTGGGCTGAGGATTTAGAAGTCGGTTCCCGCCATAACAGACGTCTATAGACGTTGGTTCCCCCCACAACAGACGTCTAAACGGCTTTAGAAGTCGGAGTGACGGGATCAGACGTCTAAAAGGAGTCAAAAGATGACTTTTTAGATTTCTAGGCTGAGGATTTAGAAGTCGGTTGCCGCCATAACAGACGTCTATAGACGTCAGTTCCCCCACAATAGACGTCTAAATGGCTTTAGAAGTCGGGCCCCCTCATAGCCAACGTCTAAATAGTTGTTTTATTTACGAAAAATGCCATCGATCATTTTTTACGTTGGATATTCGAGAGTCAGACGTCTAAAGGATAACGCTAAAGGCCTTTTTTGCACTAGTGGCACCCTTCAAGAGACGTTAGAGTAGACCTTCCCCATTTCCATGGGAAAGAAGATGTTGAGGAATACTTAGATTGGGAAATGAAAGTTGAACAACTCTTTGAGTGTCATCAAGCTAGTATGGAAAGAAAAGTCTCCCTATCCACTCTAAGTTTTCATGGGAATACATTTGTGAACTTCCCTAGTGAGAGAAAGAAGGCTCTCCAATTTTTCTCCAATTCAATATTGGAATGAGCTTAAGAATGCCATAAGAAGGAGGCACATACCCTCTTACTACAATAGAGAGCTTATGGACAAACTCCAAATGCTCCAACAAAGGGAGTTACGTGTAGTGGAGAAAAAGATGGAGCTCTATATGATGAGGGTGGGAATTAGAGAGGAGAGTGAGGTCACCATCTCTACCTACTTAGTGGTCTTAACCTTGAAATTAAAGATAAAGTGGAGTTGCTACCATCAAGATTTGAATGATTTGGTACAATTGAGCATCAAAGTGAAACAACAACTTTAGAGAAGCAAACTTTACTCTAATTCTAATACTAAAAAAGACTACAAGAGGAAGAGTAAGCAAGCAGTCATTATCCATCGATAATGGTTATCATTATTATTATCGACGAAATAACGGTCATTGGTAAACATGTATTACTGACAGATTATGACTCTTACTGACAGATTATAACCGTCAATAATATCATCTTTTTTAGTAGTGTTAGTTTAGATGTAAAAAATCGTTATTATGTTTTCATCTTTTTAAAATTAATTCTATTCTATTTCTTTCTATTATTTTCTTATTTATATGATTATTATGAGACGAAAATAGGTGTTTACATTTACGCTTATTAAATTTTATAGTGTTTAATAAATTTGAATCCATTTGATTCAAACTGACAGAAAAAAGAAAAAGAATTATAAGATAATAATTGTTTTAAACTTGAAAAAAAGAACTGTTCCTTTGACTGAAAAAAAAAATTGAAGCTGTTATATGCTAGTAATTATTTGGGCAATATAAGACGAAAGACTTGTGGTAGGTGATTTTATATTGAGTGTATTTATAAAATAACACTTTACATCACAAAGAAACTCAGTGCACTCATATCATATTCTCAAAGAACTCATTTCCTCAAATATAATCTTAAATGGTGCAAAACTCATTGAATATAGGGAACACATATATGGCTTCAATAAATTTAGATGATCATTTAGAAGTCGAAGGGTCTGTATGTTATTGTGTTGCATTTATTTAATTAAAGGAAGGAGAACGTGTGCTCCCATCATTAACTGCAAAAACAAACACACCAGTTCGTACGTTATTAGATAACTATTTCCTTTAAATTATAAACTTGATATTGAACTATTGAAATGGTAAAAGAGTGTATATAAGAGAAGAATTACCTTCCAGTTCAATGAATAGAAGGATCTAGTGGAAGCTGGATTTGTCACGTCTACGTATTTGGTCTGGTACCACAGAATTGAACCAAGAACAACATTTCCAAGACACTACGACATAACACAGAGATTCAGTTTTAAATACTGTTCAAAAGTTTAAATAACCGTATTTTCATTTATAATGATATATGCATGTAAATATATGCTTCGCATTGAGATTAAAAGGTTGGAATAATTAATCTACGCAGTAAAGACAACTTTTCTAGAGAAATATTTTTTTTATCTAAATACAGATATCTCTCACTTGTTGGATCTAGCTATTCCTATCGTAATTAGAAGTTTAGAGATTGTAAATATCATGTGAAAAAAAATACTCAAACAAAACAGTCTTGTTTATCAAAATCATACTCCATACCTAAAATTCCAACCTATATACATATAATAAACATATTACCGTGACAAATTTAATCAAGTAGGGAGATGAGGATGATGCTCCTGCCAAGAAGGCAACTCCAAATGCCATTTCATAAAGGACAACAGAAATCCAAAATAGCTATCAAAGATTTAGAATCAGTTAAGTGCTATACAAAGAAGGTATAACCAAAAAAATATATTGAATTTAAGAAACATAAATACTTTTTTTTGGCCTAAACTTGCTGCGAAAGTATTAACGCCATGTTTTATATCTCCTTCTACGTCAGGTATATCCTACACAAATCCAATACAAGGTTTTACATTATTGGACCAAAAGTTTGATGTTGGAAAGTTAATACATATGTTTCGAGAAAATAAAGACATTTTTACCTTGGCTAATGCTATACCAGTAGAGTAGAAACTCATGAACAGCAGAGTAACAATCAGAGATCTTGTAAACAGAAGTGGCCTCTTCAACACAAACGTCTGAATATTTGTTACATAAATTAGCAATTTAATAACAAACGAAAGGGGTTGTCGTATAATATAACACATCTAATTCTTATCTCAACACATATTCATCATTTCTACAACTTTTCATCATGCTTTTAAATCCTGTGGATTCAAATGGTTGATTGTGTATCAAATGAAACTAACACAAAAATCTTGGGATGAATATTTGTTATTATTACATAAGTTGGAACATGCTTATTCAAAACTAAGATCTATAAAAGGCAAGAATAGTGATAGGACAGAACCTGCATATGAAAGAAGTATGTAATTGGAAATATATATGCCCAAGTAACAAACATGAGTAATGATGCCAGCACGGGATTTTGCTTCCATCGTAATAAAGGCAACTGCAGAATATATATAAGAATACTCAGTGCGCTAATACTTTATACCTTTAAACATAATACACATTTTAAATGCAATTGGAAAGAACTTACATTGGCAGAATAGCAAGTCCATAATGTTGCGGACAACACAAAGTTCCAAATCAATGCAGGAGAACCTATCATGAAGTTAAGCCCTAAACCCTGTAAAACAGTATAAAACCGTAACTCTCCTTTTTCTATGAACCTCATCTTAAAATCTTTTATTCTAAGAAGTGATGGATCTATATGGTACCAAAATTGCAGATAAGGCAACAATAATTGCACAACTTCTGAAGGATATTTTCCCAGCAGCCAATGGAAGATATGGTTTGTTTATCTGCAATAGAATTCAAAAGTTTTATTAACTATAAAAAGTTGCATCCTATCAAAGGATATAGAAACTATGGGTTCAAAATTATAAAGGGATTAATTTTTACAAGAAAATATAAAGGGACTCGTTAAGTATTCTCACCATTTTCAAGGTTATAAAGTACAATAAATAAACTGTTCCAAAAATCCAACTATATTCTCAATTATTTTAATTAATTTGGTAATATATAAATCACATGTAAAATTACTTTAATATGTTCATAATCTGAATTAATTAAAATAAGAAAAATGGGTAGGTGTTTGGTCAAATTTTGTGAGGGTTTGGTGATGCTCCCATTAAGAAAAAGGCGGGAATACGTCAGTAAACTTCAATTATACGGAAAGGAGTTTGAAAAGGAAAATTATATAAATTGTTGTACCAGTGACTTTCTTGTGTAAACTTTGTCTTTATATATGTTTCTGAATATTATATGTTTTATACAACAACAATTTTTTATTATATGTTTTAATGGAATATATACAAACGGTATATAAAACAAACGAATAATGAAATGAATTATTTGTATTCATAGTAAGTTTCATACCTTATCTATTTCAAAATCAAACACTTGATTCACGCCATTAACAAAAAGATCCATAAACAAGTGAGGTATCAAAGCCTGAAACATTAGAATAAACAAGTCAAAAGAATGTTTTTTATTGAAGTCAAACGGTAATTTTCAGTTGTCTTTAAAAAAACATGTTTGGAGTGTCACCTGTAACAAACCAATAAAAAACAACGGAGATATATCTGATAATTTTTCTACTGCAACGAGAGACGCAGAAATTGCCGCTGATGACTATAAAATACAGGTTAATTTAGAACAAGAAGGGTATTAATTATCCAAATCAGAATTTAATACAAAGGGACAACATAACTTTGAATATTAATTATAAGAGTGACGGAACAGTATTTACTTACTCGACCATACATTGCGTAAGGGTAAATAAATTGGTACAAAACGGCCACGAAATTTTTGACAGAGTCGACAATGTTATTGGAGTTGGAAGCTTCAGATTCTGACTCAGAAGATGGTACATTGACGGCTTTCACAACATAACTTTTATTGCTTTCTTCATATATTGCTCCTTTTTCGATGCTTTTGTAGTGATGATTAAAAGGTGATTGTTGAAACCTCAAAGGAATATTATACTGTTTCTGAGCTTTTATATTGTGCTTAGAAGCTTTTGATCCATGTGAACTTAAAGTACCCACTGTTCAAAGTTGTAGCATGCACAAAAAGATATATTTAAAATCATGTCAAGATGATGAATAATTAGACAATAAATAATTTGAAAATTGAAATAAGTCGTTGTAGAAAAAGAGAATATTCTTCTTTTCTTTTGGTTAAAACCTTAAAAAAATTAATATGAAAATTTTGGTTTTAAACGAAAGTCAAATTCATAAGTCACTTACTTACAAATAGAAAAATGTATTAACGATATATAATATTTATAAAAACATTAAAAAAAACGTATTTTATTTTCTAAAACTAATTTTTAATTTATATAAAAATTATGCGAAACTTTATTCCATCTTTAATTTTTTTTTCTTCTCCTAAGTATTTGTTAAAAAACAATATCTACATATGCCTTTCGTAATTTTGAAAATACTTATTTATCTATTAACAAAAAAGGACATTATATATATATATTTAAACAAATGAATGAATTTTTATTATGGAAAATTTAAAATAAAAAAAGTTAAAGACCACAAATTCCAATATACTTTTTTATATTATTTTTACTTTCATTTTTATAAGTTTGATCAATTAGGTCGGAATTCGACAATCGGGTCTTTTGCATCCTTATTGAACATTTTATGCTTTTTATTTATTTGAAAACAAATGTTTACTCTAATTTTTCGTCACTAATAAGTAAAAACACCAAAATAGGACCACGTGCCCATGTGGAAATTGTTCTGATGTTCAAGGCCTGACTGTAGTATAACAATGCCGTAATTCAACCGTATCCTAAATTTTAAGATACTTTGCAAGATAATTTGTGAAGTAGCTACTTTGGAAGATTATGTAACAGAAAATATATTTTAAATATTATATTTTAATATAAATTTTATTAACATTTAAAATACTGTATTCACCTAAAATAAATATTCTCATAATTTATTTCTTATTTTAGTTTAAGTGATACTATCATATAAATTTTTAAATAATTATACGTTCATTTTTAAAGTTTATGTCTCCATAAAAAATCCCGTTCTTCTTAACTTTTATCCTTAATTATGAATAATTATTTTTGCATCATTTTAAATATAGCGACATATTTATACCTTATTATTATTTGAAAATATTTTATAAATAAATTTAAAAGTAAAGTATACCGATATATAATAGTTTATTTTTAAAATTTTAGACTCTTAAACTATTGTGAATTACATTAAATTTACCAGCATATATATATAAAATGATCAATTTTAATTATTGTTGTTTCTGGACATATATTTTACAATAAAATAAATTAATTAATGAATGATCAGTACAGTACTATTTAATGCTAAAATCAAAATAATTTAAAAAAATAATAGGTGTTTGTAAGAAGGATATAGTAAATAGAGATCATGTGAGAAATTTAGTTATCATGAAATATAAATAAGTCAACTATTACATCCAATTGAAGACTATAGTAAAGCTTAAAGTTTCCATCAACATGTGCCTTTTTTAATATTATAACACATTTCAGTTAATACATGAAAAAAAGATGTGAAAGAGTGAGATAATCATCAGAAAATCATAAAAAATGTTAGTTGAAAGGAATAGGGTATAAGTGATGGGACATACTTTCACAGTAAATACTGTTGAAAGAGAGTTTCCTGTCCCAAAGATTTGCACCTATTATTCACAGTAAATACTGTTGAATGCATGCTTCCACGTATTATTCAGAAAATAACTTTGCAGTGAAAAATGAACCAAAATAGAACAGATAGTGAGTATAAGTACCAGTTGAGAGTGAAGAGACGTTAGGAGAAGATATTAGATGTGCCATAGCCATGGAAACTGATCACAGAGAGAACACTAAACTCTATAGAACAGATAAGAACGTAGAGATACCCTTGTACAACACAAGATAGGAATAGGAGATTTTATAGGCAGAAAGACAATGAAATTTGGTTTTTCATAAAAAGATATAAAATTTGATTGGTACATAGAAAATTATCACGATGCACATAGTCAACGTTTTGCAGGCAAACAATTGCAAAATAATCAAATCCAACACAACAGGCTCGCGTAAGAAAGATTTAAAAGACTTTTATAACAGGATTTAGTAGTTTAAAAGATTTTAATAAGCTTACAACGTAAAGGTTTAAAAGGTTCGAAAGACTTTGTGAATGACATGGATTTTAATAATGTATATTTAAAGCTAAAAGATGCCATTAATGATAAATAAGATATTATATAAGTTTCGAAAAAAGAAGAACAGAAAAAATAAAATTGAGATAATTTATTTTAAACATTTAATAATTAATTGATTATATCTTTCACATATTTTAAGTAACATTATCCAGCTATCTAAATATATTTAGGTTTAGCTCTATTGTGGTATTCTGTTTTATTAAAATAAAAATAATATAATATAGTTATTTATTTACGTTGTTTGAACTTATTTGTTTGTACTTGACTTTAAAATATTAACACTAGGGTTACTCATGATTATATAAATATGTTTTCCCTTCTTCACTAGACATTTGGTCCGCTTCAGAGAAATATTAGGAACAATAATAGGCGAGAAATTTCTAAAACTAGTACAGTCAGGGGAAACGACAGCGGTTATTTTTGTCTAGGCAGCGGTTTTCGAACCGAGGCATATTCAGGCGAGGCAAAAAGTCTAATACTTTTGGCCTCGGTTGAGAACTGAGGCATGAAAGCAGAGGATTTTGCCTCGGTTCAGTATTACCCGATGCAGTAACGTTTTTGGTTTTTTTAATTTTTTTCGTATGACTTTATGTCTCGGTTATGGCTAGAACCGAAGCAGTATATGCCACTCTACTGCCTCGGTTATGGCTGGAACCGAGGTAGTAGACTCTTTTTTTTTAACTCATCCGCAAGACTTTCTGCTTCGGGTGTGACCATAACCGAGGCCGTAAGGGGTCTTTCTACTTCGGTTGTGACCATAACCGAGGCATATATTCTTTTTTTTTAAATGAGGTCTGTTTCTGCAACATTCCCAACCACAGAAACAGACCTGCATATATTTTTATAGCCAGAACAGTCCAGAATAATGTAGAAACGTATATTTTAAATGAAAATTATACTAAAACATAAATATATTGAATGGAATCATAAATCAACTTCTTAGAAGCATAAATCAATCCAATGTAATCATAAATCAAGTTTCAAGCATAAATCAATACAATGTACAAAGTTAAACTTATAATAATGTAGAAAAGCATAAAACAACTTAGAAACATAAACTTAGAACTTACTATATCCTAATATCTACTACATACTATTATATAAATGAATTACATATTTAGCAAGTGTTTTCCTCATAACTTGAATTGNACCTTCCAGTTCAATGAATAGAAGGATCTAGTGGAAGCTGGATTTGTCACGTCTACGTATTTGGTCTGGTACCACAGAATTGAACCAAGAACAACATTTCCAAGACACTACGACATAACACAGAGATTCAGTTTTAAATACTGTTCAAAAGTTTAAATAACCGTATTTTCATTTATAATGATATATGCATGTAAATATATGCTTCGCATTGAGATTAAAAGGTTGGAATAATTAATCTACGCAGTAAAGACAACTTTTCTAGAGAAATATTTTTTTTATCTAAATACAGATATCTCTCACTTGTTGGATCTAGCTATTCCTATCGTAATTAGAAGTTTAGAGATTGTAAATATCATGTGAAAAAAAATACTCAAACAAAACAGTCTTGTTTATCAAAATCATACTCCATACCTAAAATTCCAACCTATATACATATAATAAACATATTACCGTGACAAATTTAATCAAGTAGGGAGATGAGGATGATGCTCCTGCCAAGAAGGCAACTCCAAATGCCATTTCATAAAGGACAACAGAAATCCAAAATAGCTATCAAAGATTTAGAATCAGTTAAGTGCTATACAAAGAAGGTATAACCAAAAAAATATATTGAATTTAAGAAACATAAATACTTTTTTTTGGCCTAAACTTGCTGCGAAAGTATTAACGCCATGTTTTATATCTCCTTCTACGTCAGGTATATCCTACACAAATCCAATACAAGGTTTTACATTATTGGACCAAAAGTTTGATGTTGGAAAGTTAATACATATGTTTCGAGAAAATAAAGACATTTTTACCTTGGCTAATGCTATACCAGTAGAGTAGAAACTCATGAACAGCAGAGTAACAATCAGAGATCTTGTAAACAGAAGTGGCCTCTTCAACACAAACGTCTGAATATTTGTTACATAAATTAGCAATTTAATAACAAACGAAAGGGGTTGTCGTATAATATAACACATCTAATTCTTATCTCAACACATATTCATCATTTCTACAACTTTTCATCATGCTTTTAAATCCTGTGGATTCAAATGGTTGATTGTGTATCAAATGAAACTAACACAAAAATCTTGGGATGAATATTTGTTATTATTACATAAGTTGGAACATGCTTATTCAAAACTAAGATCTATAAAAGGCAAGAATAGTGATAGGACAGAACCTGCATATGAAAGAAGTATGTAATTGGAAATATATATGCCCAAGTAACAAACATGAGTAATGATGCCAGCACGGGATTTTGCTTCCATCGTAATAAAGGCAACTGCAGAATATATATAAGAATACTCAGTGCGCTAATACTTTATACCTTTAAACATAATACACATTTTAAATGCAATTGGAAAGAACTTACATTGGCAGAATAGCAAGTCCATAATGTTGCGGACAACACAAAGTTCCAAATCAATGCAGGAGAACCTATCATGAAGTTAAGCCCTAAACCCTGTAAAACAGTATAAAACCGTAACTCTCCTTTTTCTATGAACCTCATCTTAAAATCTTTTATTCTAAGAAGTGATGGATCTATATGGTACCAAAATTGCAGATAAGGCAACAATAATTGCACAACTTCTGAAGGATATTTTCCCAGCAGCCAATGGAAGATATGGTTTGTTTATCTGCAATAGAATTCAAAAGTTTTATTAACTATAAAAAGTTGCATCCTATCAAAGGATATAGAAACTATGGGTTCAAAATTATAAAGGGATTAATTTTTACAAGAAAATATAAAGGGACTCGTTAAGTATTCTCACCATTTTCAAGGTTATAAAGTACAATAAATAAACTGTTCCAAAAATCCAACTATATTCTCAATTATTTTAATTAATTTGGTAATATATAAATCACATGTAAAATTACTTTAATATGTTCATAATCTGAATTAATTAAAATAAGAAAAATGGGTAGGTGTTTGGTCAAATTTTGTGAGGGTTTGGTGATGCTCCCATTAAGAAAAAGGCGGGAATACGTCAGTAAACTTCAATTATACGGAAAGGAGTTTGAAAAGGAAAATTATATAAATTGTTGTACCAGTGACTTTCTTGTGTAAACTTTGTCTTTATATATGTTTCTGAATATTATATGTTTTATACAACAACAATTTTTTATTATATGTTTTAATGGAATATATACAAACGGTATATAAAACAAACGAATAATGAAATGAATTATTTGTATTCATAGTAAGTTTCATACCTTATCTATTTCAAAATCAAACACTTGATTCACGCCATTAACAAAAAGATCCATAAACAAGTGAGGTATCAAAGCCTGAAACATTAGAATAAACAAGTCAAAAGAATGTTTTTTATTGAAGTCAAACGGTAATTTTCAGTTGTCTTTAAAAAAACATGTTTGGAGTGTCACCTGTAACAAACCAATAAAAAACAACGGAGATATATCTGATAATTTTTCTACTGCAACGAGAGACGCAGAAATTGCCGCTGATGACTATAAAATACAGGTTAATTTAGAACAAGAAGGGTATTAATTATCCAAATCAGAATTTAATACAAAGGGACAACATAACTTTGAATATTAATTATAAGAGTGACGGAACAGTATTTACTTACTCGACCATACATTGCGTAAGGGTAAATAAATTGGTACAAAACGGCCACGAAATTTTTGACAGAGTCGACAATGTTATTGGAGTTGGAAGCTTCAGATTCTGACTCAGAAGATGGTACATTGACGGCTTTCACAACATAACTTTTATTGCTTTCTTCATATATTGCTCCTTTTTCGATGCTTTTGTAGTGATGATTAAAAGGTGATTGTTGAAACCTCAAAGGAATATTATACTGTTTCTGAGCTTTTATATTGTGCTTAGAAGCTTTTGATCCATGTGAACTTAAAGTACCCACTGTTCAAAGTTGTAGCATGCACAAAAAGATATATTTAAAATCATGTCAAGATGATGAATAATTAGACAATAAATAATTTGAAAATTGAAATAAGTCGTTGTAGAAAAAGAGAATATTCTTCTTTTCTTTTGGTTAAAACCTTAAAAAAATTAATATGAAAATTTTGGTTTTAAACGAAAGTCAAATTCATAAGTCACTTACTTACAAATAGAAAAATGTATTAACGATATATAATATTTATAAAAACATTAAAAAAAACGTATTTTATTTTCTAAAACTAATTTTTAATTTATATAAAAATTATGCGAAACTTTATTCCATCTTTAATTTTTTTTTCTTCTCCTAAGTATTTGTTAAAAAACAATATCTACATATGCCTTTCGTAATTTTGAAAATACTTATTTATCTATTAACAAAAAAGGACATTATATATATATATTTAAACAAATGAATGAATTTTTATTATGGAAAATTTAAAATAAAAAAAGTTAAAGACCACAAATTCCAATATACTTTTTTATATTATTTTTACTTTCATTTTTATAAGTTTGATCAATTAGGTCGGAATTCGACAATCGGGTCTTTTGCATCCTTATTGAACATTTTATGCTTTTTATTTATTTGAAAACAAATGTTTACTCTAATTTTTCGTCACTAATAAGTAAAAACACCAAAATAGGACCACGTGCCCATGTGGAAATTGTTCTGATGTTCAAGGCCTGACTGTAGTATAACAATGCCGTAATTCAACCGTATCCTAAATTTTAAGATACTTTGCAAGATAATTTGTGAAGTAGCTACTTTGGAAGATTATGTAACAGAAAATATATTTTAAATATTATATTTTAATATAAATTTTATTAACATTTAAAATACTGTATTCACCTAAAATAAATATTCTCATAATTTATTTCTTATTTTAGTTTAAGTGATACTATCATATAAATTTTTAAATAATTATACGTTCATTTTTAAAGTTTATGTCTCCATAAAAAATCCCGTTCTTCTTAACTTTTATCCTTAATTATGAATAATTATTTTTGCATCATTTTAAATATAGCGACATATTTATACCTTATTATTATTTGAAAATATTTTATAAATAAATTTAAAAGTAAAGTATACCGATATATAATAGTTTATTTTTAAAATTTTAGACTCTTAAACTATTGTGAATTACATTAAATTTACCAGCATATATATATAAAATGATCAATTTTAATTATTGTTGTTTCTGGACATATATTTTACAATAAAATAAATTAATTAATGAATGATCAGTACAGTACTATTTAATGCTAAAATCAAAATAATTTAAAAAAATAATAGGTGTTTGTAAGAAGGATATAGTAAATAGAGATCATGTGAGAAATTTAGTTATCATGAAATATAAATAAGTCAACTATTACATCCAATTGAAGACTATAGTAAAGCTTAAAGTTTCCATCAACATGTGCCTTTTTTAATATTATAACACATTTCAGTTAATACATGAAAAAAAGATGTGAAAGAGTGAGATAATCATCAGAAAATCATAAAAAATGTTAGTTGAAAGGAATAGGGTATAAGTGATGGGACATACTTTCACAGTAAATACTGTTGAAAGAGAGTTTCCTGTCCCAAAGATTTGCACCTATTATTCACAGTAAATACTGTTGAATGCATGCTTCCACGTATTATTCAGAAAATAACTTTGCAGTGAAAAATGAACCAAAATAGAACAGATAGTGAGTATAAGTACCAGTTGAGAGTGAAGAGACGTTAGGAGAAGATATTAGATGTGCCATAGCCATGGAAACTGATCACAGAGAGAACACTAAACTCTATAGAACAGATAAGAACGTAGAGATACCCTTGTACAACACAAGATAGGAATAGGAGATTTTATAGGCAGAAAGACAATGAAATTTGGTTTTTCATAAAAAGATATAAAATTTGATTGGTACATAGAAAATTATCACGATGCACATAGTCAACGTTTTGCAGGCAAACAATTGCAAAATAATCAAATCCAACACAACAGGCTCGCGTAAGAAAGATTTAAAAGACTTTTATAACAGGATTTAGTAGTTTAAAAGATTTTAATAAGCTTACAACGTAAAGGTTTAAAAGGTTCGAAAGACTTTGTGAATGACATGGATTTTAATAATGTATATTTAAAGCTAAAAGATGCCATTAATGATAAATAAGATATTATATAAGTTTCGAAAAAAGAAGAACAGAAAAAATAAAATTGAGATAATTTATTTTAAACATTTAATAATTAATTGATTATATCTTTCACATATTTTAAGTAACATTATCCAGCTATCTAAATATATTTAGGTTTAGCTCTATTGTGGTATTCTGTTTTATTAAAATAAAAATAATATAATATAGTTATTTATTTACGTTGTTTGAACTTATTTGTTTGTACTTGACTTTAAAATATTAACACTAGGGTTACTCATGATTATATAAATATGTTTTCCCTTCTTCACTAGACATTTGGTCCGCTTCAGAGAAATATTAGGAACAATAATAGGCGAGAAATTTCTAAAACTAGTACAGTCAGGGGAAACGACAGCGGTTATTTTTGTCTAGGCAGCGGTTTTCGAACCGAGGCATATTCAGGCGAGGCAAAAAGTCTAATACTTTTGGCCTCGGTTGAGAACTGAGGCATGAAAGCAGAGGATTTTGCCTCGGTTCAGTATTACCCGATGCAGTAACGTTTTTGGTTTTTTTAATTTTTTTCGTATGACTTTATGTCTCGGTTATGGCTAGAACCGAAGCAGTATATGCCACTCTACTGCCTCGGTTATGGCTGGAACCGAGGTAGTAGACTCTTTTTTTTTAACTCATCCGCAAGACTTTCTGCTTCGGGTGTGACCATAACCGAGGCCGTAAGGGGTCTTTCTACTTCGGTTATGACCATAACCGAGGCATATATTCTTTTTTTTTAAATGAGGTCTGTTTCTGCAACATTCCCAACCACAGAAACAGACCTGCATATATTTTTATAGCCAGAAAAGTCAAGAATAATGTAGAAACGTATATTTTAAATGAAAATTATACTAAAACATAAATATATTGAATGGAATCATAAATCAACTTCTTAGAAGCATAAATCAATCCAATGTAATCATAAATCAAGTTTCAAGCATAAATCAATACAATGTACAAAGTTAAACTTATAATAATGTAGAAAAGCATAAAACAACTTAGAAACATAAACTTAGAACTTACTATATCCTAATATCTACTACATACTATTATATAAATGAATTACATATTTAGCAAGTGTTTTCCTCATAACTTGAATTGACTTCTCTGCAATTGGAGCAGTCCTATTAAATTTCTGCATAAAACACAATGATTTCAATTAGTGTATATGAAATCCAAACT